AAATTAGAGGCAAAGCAAAGTTTGTGTGTATAGATACAGGTAGGCTGGCAGTAGTGAAAAAATGACATAGCTCTTGCATAATAACATTTTCTCCAAGCAGTTTTTGGTGGGTTCATCAGCTGAGGGGAGGAGGAAGAAAGGATGTTGGAGATTAGAGAAGAAAAGGTGAGAAAGTCTTGCTTCAGGGAGGAGAAAAGTAAATTTAGTAGCAATGAATAGCAGTATTGAATTTGAAGTGAATCTACTTGTCCTGGTTGGATGATACTTTCCAGTTATTTTTAGCTGACTGAGAGTAGGCATAAAAAGAATAGATGGGTTTAACTAGGGTTCGGGGTGAGGGGCGTTCTGGGCAAGTGGCATCTATGAAGATAGGAGGCAGGGAGTAAGAGGAGTCTGCAAGAGGGCTGATAGTAAGAAACTATGGAATCTAGGCTAGGAAATCATGAGGAATGCATGAACATTAATGATGTGAAAGACAGAAAAGGTGGTCGGGTCAAAGGACTAGAGATTTGTGAGGAAAGAAAATAGTTGGGATGTAGATATTAAAGTAAGAGAGTAAGTAACCATCAAAGAGTAGGATATGTGAGAAGATCCCAGAGGGAGTTTGGCTTCAGAAAAGGGTCCCGATACAAGTGTTTTGGAAAATGTATGTGTATATGTAAGTATTCTAAAGTTGATCATAAATGACTCATAGCTTTGATATTAACTATTATTTTCAATAACTACTCTTCCTCCTACCAAAAACAAGAATTGTCACAGAAAAAAGAAAAAGCATGTTATTATTTCCATTAAGGAACATGGCTAGATTCTGCAATCTGCATTTGGGGTAAAATTGGGAGTTCATAACCCACTTCAATCTAATGTATGAAATATGATATGTCAAGAACTTTGTAATGTTGTGAACAACCAATAAAAAAAATAAAATTAAAAAAAAAGGAACATGGCTAAACTGGGACAAAACCACATCTAAGTTTAACCCTTTGTTTCTTGTTCCAATATTGTCTCATTATTCATTCATTGTATATGAAAGAATCCATTCAAAATGTGTAATTCGATGTAGCTGAGAGTCATAAAACCCAATGAAACTTAGCTCAAAATCAATGTGACTGTGAAATAAAATTATCAGCAAAGCTAACAACAACAACAACCCTAGATTGTGAAAAACAAATTGAAATTATGATGTACATGAAGAGAACTGTGTAGAAAACATTTCTAATAACTGCTAGCATTCTGCATAATTAACACATATCCATGAAAACACTTGTTTTTAAAGGGGGAGAGGAAGATAAGTAAAACACTGTTAGAATTCCAGTATTGCAACATCAGAGTAATTTTGTTTTGTTTTTTAAGTGAATTTGTTAGACACAAAGATCACACATTTCTGTGATAGTAATGATGATAAGGTCTATATTATAACCATGTGGATGGGAGGTTGAGGTGGCAGAGCATAAAAGACTATCAAAGAAGGCTAGAGCACTGGATGAAACTGTTATGTGATGTTCAAGTTACACAGAGAGATGTCAAAAGCAGTGGTGAAGAGTCATCAGTGAAGGTGGGGTAGGTGACAAAAAGGCTTAAAGAAATAAAAAAAAAACCCTGATATTATATACTTGAAAGATGTTAGGGGAACTGAAGGAGAAAGAAAGAAAAATAATTTGGAGGCTATAGTGGATAACAAGGATCCACCTTTCTCCCCATGGGCTCTGAGGTACATGAGGTAGGGAAGGAAAATCAGGTTCCAATTTGGGAAGTATCCTTAGAACAAAAAGGCGAAGGGATTGTTCTGAGAAGAAGCTGAGGATGTAGCATAGTACTTGAACTTGGTGTGTTCACAATCAATCTTTCTTAAATTTGAATCTCAATTTTCCTAATAGTTTACTATATCTTAAAAAGGAAAAATATTAAAAATTTATTTACAAAGAATCTGGAACAGATTAAAAAGGAAATAATCCTCTAATGACTTTATTTTCCAAATCCATGAAAAACTCATCTTCAAAAGTTAGTCTCCTAGCCAAGATAAAAAGAATCCAGCATATTATTGTTTTTGGCTTAATATAAATGGACAGCTATTATAAAACAAAACCAGGCATTCTCTTGCATAAGAATTCAATATCAGAGGAATAAAATTAAGTGAATTCTGCTTTGATGAAACTTAGAAAATAGCCTCTCTGAGCACAAGCTGAACAAAGTTAACTCTTATAGTTCAAGCACAGAAACAGATACCTATGGGATGTAAATAAATAGATTTCCTAAGTATAATCTTTGGAGTATAGATACAGAAATTTTGGAATATATAGTCCTTCTTCAAGTAAAAATATGATTATTCCATGAATAACTGAAAAAGAGATGTTTGTCCTAATATCATAGTTTTTTCCCCTTAAATTTCTTCTGAATATTTTTAAGACTATGTAAATGTCAAAACTTTTTTATGCTTTAACAGAAAAATTGTATTTTATGTCCATAGGATGCCTTCTAAATATTTCTACTAAGCTGTCTGCATGTAGCTCATGAAATTATATAGTCCTTTAGGGTCTTAAACATACAAAAAAAAAATCTGTTCTACAAAGACAAAATTTTATGAAATTTACCTAGAATCTCCCATCAAAATCCAGTGGTTTGTTTTATAGTGGTATATGATGGTTTAATCATAATCATTAATCAGAAATGTCAGCTGATTCAACTGCAGGTTAGTTCTGTCTTCCTCATAGACTATCAGATTCTAATCACTAGACAGAAAATTTACTAGTAGTTTTATTATGCCAGATAAATGGACAAATGGATTTGAGAAAGGCCAACTCTTCTATTTCAATAAGCCTAATATGATGTGTCAGAGCAAATTGTCAATAATATACTGTGCTCATTTATTACACACAGCTGGAAGCAAATTATTTCTCTTCTTCATGAAGAACCCAGCTGGAAGTAATCTCTCTTTCACCACAGTTCTTTAGTACTTTGTATATTACTTACAGGAATTTCTCTTTGGAGGACAAGATTTTTGTTCTTGTTTTATTTTCCTTCTAGGTTATAAGCAAGTAAACTACACCTTGACATTTTTCAATAGCCTCAAAGTATCATAGCATTATTTGTATTCCGTTTCATACCCAGTACTCATAGAACAAAATGCCATAGTGACACTATCAATATCAAACTCATCAATATTATGGATTACACATAAATAGGGTTTTGCTATTTGATCTAGAATCATGTCAACATTTAGGTAAAACAGAAAACTGTTTTGAATTCTAAAAACTTAATTACAAAATCAGTGTCAGAACACAACAGGGATTTTTCTGAGCTACATCTCCAGCCCTACCCCTTTTCTTTTTGAGACAGGGTCTCACTAAGTTGCTGACCTTAAGCTTTCGATCCTGATGCCTCAGCCTCCTAAATCACAAACATGAGCCACTGAACCTGGCAACAAGGACTTCTTATACTGCAGGTATGACTAGAAAGGTTCCCAACAAAAAGCAGTCAAATGCTAAGTTTCCCAATTCTGTAAGTAAAAGAGAACTATTTTTTTCTTTAAAAATATAGGAACAATGGAATTTAAAAATAACATTTTGTGAAAAACATGGGAAAATGTTTAAAAAATAATGCATGGAGTTATACTTGCCCAACTGAACACTTCAAATGTCTTTCCATTAATCCAGAGAATCCTGGTTAAGCACAGGAATTTCATGTTGTTTTTAAACTGAAATTTTAACTTACCATTTATGTTTATTGCTGGTAATACAATTGACATTTTTGGTCTTGTGGTCTTGTTATGGGTGGTAGCTGGTAACAGTAGGTGATCCTAAAATTAACAAAGAATAATTTGTTATATATAACAACTGGCTCAGCACTAGAACAGGCCAAATTTAGGCTTTCTATGAAGTTGACATTTCATTGGGATCATGAAAATGAGTTTTTATTTGGACCTGGCTTAAAGGTAATTAAGATCATTCATTAATTAATACAATACACATTTACTGAGTATGTACCATTACCAGGGGTTATGCAGAATTTGGGGAATACTCATGGGTGCTGATAATACATATGCTTCAGTATATTATAAAGAGTGTCATTTAAGCAGTCAGGAAAGGGAGTTTTAATTCTAATTCCACCACTGAATAGCTGAATGATCTGGACAATACATATATATATTTATCTCCTTTCTGGGTCTCACTTTCCAGTCCTGTAAAATAATGAGGGTTAGACTAAGTAATATTACACAATACTAAATTGTGTACCCACTAAACAGTCATTTTCAAACCCCATTTTAAAAGAGAAATTTTCCTCTAAAATATTATCCAAAATTACTAATATGTAAAAGAGAAGTTCTGCTTAAAGCAGGGAAAGGGCCTAGTACCTTTCCTGCTTAGTCTTGCCCCTTTGAAGTGGCCAGGACATAGATATTTATTTGTGACAGGTATATGCTAAAGATGATGTATAGTTCTTACCCTTAAAAAGCATATAGCTTAGTAGAAGAGTTTAAAGAATCATAAATATGTGTCTAGCACAATTATATAGCTCTAACTATAACACAGCCAAACTTCAAATATACCACAGAGTTACAGTAACAAGCATAAAAACAGACATGTAGATCAATGGAACAAAATAGAAGACACAAAGACAAACCCATTTATCTACAATCATCTAATCCTTGACAGAGGTGCCAAAAACATACACTGGAGAAAAGATAGCCTTTTTGACAACTGGGGCTAGGAAAACTGGTTATTCATATGTAGAAGAACGAGACTAAATGCTTATCTCTCACCCTGCATGGAACTCAACTCAAAACAGATAAAAAATCTAGGAACTAGACCAGAAACTTCGAAACTCCTAGAAGACAACATGAGGTCAACACTCCAACACACAGGCATAGGAAACATCTTTCTTAATTGGACCCCTCAAATTCAGGAAACAATGCCAAGAATTAATAAATGGGATGGTATCAAATTAAAAAGCTTCTGCACAGCAAAGGAAAGGATTAATATGAAGAGAATCTACAAAATGGGATAAAATCTTTGCTAGCTACTCTTCTCACAGAGGATTAATATCCAAAATATATAAAGAACTAAAAAAAAAAAAACACCTTACACCAAGAAATATATTGCTAAGTGAAGTTAGCCAATTCCAAAAAACCAAATGCCAAATGTTTTCTTTGATATAAGGAAGCTGATTCATAGTGGGATAGGGAGCAGGAGCATGAGAGGAATACACGAACTCTAGATAGGGCAGAGGGGTGGGAGGGGAAGGGAGGGGACATAGGGTAATTAATGATGGTTGAATGTGATGATCATTGTTATCCAAAGTACATGTATGAAGACACGAATTGGTGTGAGTATATTATGTATACAACCAGAGATACAAAAAATTAAGCTCTATATATGTAATAAGAATTATAATGCATTCTGCTATTATATATAAATATAAAAAAAGAAAAAAACCTTAACACCAAAAACAAACAAACAAACAAAACCCCAAATAACCCAATTAATAAATGGGCAAATTAACTCAACAAATACTTCTCAAAGAAAAATACAAATGGCCAACAAATATGTGAAAAAATGTTCAACAATTTTAGCAATTAGGGAAATACAAATCAAAACTACACTGAAATTTCACCTTACTCTAGTTAGATTGGCAGTCATCAAGAATACAAACAATGATGTATGTATGAGTTTGTCAGGATGAATCCAACTATTATGTATAAACATAAAGGTCTAATTAAGAAAAGAATACAAACAATGCTGGTGAGGATGTGGAAGAAAAGGAACACTTTTATATTATTGGTGGGATTGTAAATCCATTTTTCAGTATGGAGGCTCCTCAGAAGAGTAGGTATGGAACCATCATATGACCCATCTATAACACTCCTCAGTATTTATTCTAAAGTAAAGTCAGCATACTATTATAATACCCATATTTATAGCAACATAATTCAAAATTATCAAATTATGAAATCAATCTAGGTATCCATCAACAGATGAAGAAAATGTGATACACACACACACACACACACACACACACACACACAATGGAGTTTGATTCGGCCATAAAGAACAGTGAAATTATGTCATTTTCAGGAACATAGATGAAACTGGAAAGCATTATGTTAAGTGAAATAAACCAAACTCAGAAAGTCAAAGTTTGTGTGTTTTCTTTCATGTGTGGAAGCTAGAGGGGAAAAAGGAAAAGAAAGGTGGTGAGGGGCAGAGTATCTCATGAAAATTGAAGGGAGATAATAGAATAGAGGAAAGGCACAAGGGAAGGGAAAGGGGAAATACTGGGAAATGATATTGGCCAAATTATATTGCAATGTTGTATAATTATGAACAATTATAATGCCTCAAAGAAAAAATGGGAAAAAATAAATATACCACGGAAAACTTTTGATGACCTGTAAGTGAATCAGGTACATCTGAGATTACTGGTCTCTAGCCACACAATTACTAAAAGTAACAATGAGTCAAGAAGAGCTTGGCTTTGGAAAAGAGGGCAATAGAAATGTTTTGGAAAAAATATATGTGTGGCTGTAGGTATTCTAAAGCTGATTATAAATGATGTATGACTGATATTAACAACTATTTCAAATAACTATTCTTCCCTCTAGCAAAAACAAAAATTATCACAGAGAGAAAAGAGCATGATAGTATTTCCACTTAAGGGAGCATCATTAAAATTACATAAAACTGAACCTAAGTTTAACTTGTTTTGTTTCCTAGTTCCTATGTTCATTGTTTCATAATTCCTTCAAACTTGCTATAGGTTAGAACTCCTTAAAATGTAGATTTGACATAGTTAAGAGTAACAAAAACTCAATGCAACTTAGTTTAAAGTGTGATTGAAATGCAATTATCAGCAAAGCTAATAAAAAAGAAACTTATGAAGAGCAAATTGAAATTGATATAGACAGAACTGTGTAGAAAACATTTCCAGTAACTTGTGCTTTGTATAACTCAAGACAACATTTCCACAAGAATACTTTTTTTAAAAAAGGAAGCAAGGAAGGATGAGTGAAGTTCTGTTAGAATTCTAGCATGGCAGTATAGTAGTTTTTCTTTCTTTTCTTTTTCTGGTTTTGTTTTCTCTCATTTTTAAGGAGCATTGTTGGGCACAAAGATCACACATTTCTGAGAATAAGATAACATAACCAAGGGAAAAAAACACAATTTTCTGATCTTCCTGCTATGAAAAGTATAAATAGCTTAATTCCTAGAATTAAAATACTGTTTCGGGGTCTCTAATTTGAATGAGAAAACACACCAAAAACATGTAAGCCCCAAATTTAGGTTATTATAAAAATAAATACACTTAGATTCCAGTGGTCATGAGTTAAGATGAGACTTAGACTTAATTCTGAGTTGCCTGCTCAACAAAAAAATGTTGTTTTTAAACACAATTTTCTTTCTTTCTTTTGCAGTTTTGACAATTGAACCCAGGACCTTGTACATGCTAGTGCTCTACCACGAAGCTACATTCCCAGTCCTTCTTTTATTATTATTATTGTGTTTTAATACCATTTATTTATTTATTTATTTTTATGTGGTGCTGAGGATCAAACCTAGGGCCTCGTACATGCTAGGTGAGCGCTCTACCACTGAGCCACAACCCCAAGCGCCTCCCAGTCCTTTTTTAAACTTGTTTTTACTCTGAGGCAGGGTCATTGCTAAGCTGCCCTGGCTGGCCTGGAACTTGTAATCCTCTTGACTAGGTTCCCAAGTAGCTGGGATTAACACAATATCTCCTACAGATACTCTTCATTAGTAAAAAATTATGTTATTATTTGTGAAAAAAGAATCACAATTTCCATGCATACAAATAATTATTTAACCTGCTTCATCTCTGATCATTAGAGATTTGCAAACTGGGGAGGAACAGCTTACATTTTTAATTTTTAACGGTGCTGGGAATTGAGTGCAGGGTCTCACATGTGATATAGCCTGCAATTTAAAGTGCATGTTTGGCAAAAAGCCCAAAGACCATAACTGCAGGAAACCAAATTTGGTATATTATAAATTCTAGTAGTGCTTACCTTATATAATAAATAATTACATACATATAGACAGCTAGAACAGTGCAGTTGCTTCATTTAACAGTTACCTTCACTGCCTTCAAATAAATGAGGTTTGAACCTCACAACAATGAACCCTGAATCATTTTTCTTCTTTGTATTCATCACTCTTTTTTAGATCATTAATCCTTTTAGTCATAACTATAGAAACAAAGAAGCTTTAGTTAATCAACAAATATTTATTAACTTCATTTAAAAAAAAATTACTGAGCAAAGTATTCTGGCATATATTCAGCACTGTGCTACAGAGAATGTTTTCTTTTAAGGAATACAAACCTAAGTTTTTATTTTGTTAGAGAAACAATATGAATTGCCATATAAACAGACATTTGTTTATATGACAATAAATGCTCTTCTTTGGTAATTTTAGCATAGAAACAGGACCTTTGATATTAGTCTGTATGCCACCACTCTAAATAAGACCATACTCTTCAGTTTCTGTTGCAAGCAGGGGAAGCCGCATTTCTCATCAATGAAGATAAGAAGTGGTACCTGCCACTTCTTCTTTAAGGTGGTACTAATGGAGGGTCCCCTCCTCCTTCCCTTTTCCTGCTGGCTAGAAAGCAGATCTGACTGCTAGAGCTGGAGTAGCCCTTTTGGACCATGAGCTGGAAATATAAGCAGAGCAACCAGAGCTACCAGACAGGAAATGGAGATCCTGCTGACCAAGACCTCTGAAACTTCAAAATTCTAATTTATCTAAGTCACTATTATTTTGGATTTTCTGTCAATCAAAG